CATCCCTAATACTTAAGCTGACATGCCAGTACACTAAATTTTCTCTATATTTTTAATTGTCTATATAGAAATGTCCAGAAACTTTCTTGTAATGATGGAAATGTTTTATATTCAGTATAGCAGCCATGAGCTACCTGTTACTATGAGCACTTAAAGTGTGACTAAACTGAGGACAGAACTTTTAATTTAATTTAATTCAATTGAAACTAAATTTAATTAGCAATAGGTGTCTAGTGGCTACTATACGATTAACTATTATGAATCCAAAAGAAAAAGGAAAGGTTATTGCAAAACAACAATGAAAAAACACATGAAGTGAAGGAAGCATAAACACACACAGCTGCTCCAGTCCACCCTAGCCAGCTTACAAACCCACATTTGTCCTATAGCCCCTATTCAGTTATCTATCATACAGTCTTAATTTGGCTCTGCGATCAGATAACCAAAATTTAGCTAGTTGGTAAAAATAAAGAGCTCTGGATCATAAAAAACATGTAAACATTCATATTCCTTTCTACTAGACTAGGAATAATAGGACTGGGGTCCTTGTGAAATAAGCCCTGTCATTAATAAGGCTTAGACAACATACTCAATGGCTCCCTGATCATAAACTACTTACGAAGCACCTAATCATGGATAGTTGTGCAAAGAGGAACCATAAAGAGGATCATGTCCTTCAAAGGGACTGACAACAGAAACTGAGTAGGCATATTCTAATTCAGCAACTTTAAAAACACATGATTAAAACATATGAGAGAAATTAAACATACATTGTTCTGGGTTACTCACACTGTGACAGGATCTTGAAATTTTACTATTTCTTTCCAAGTATCTGCATCAAAACCTTGGTAAACTCCATTATTGTTCACCACCAAGACTATGATTGGCAAGTTATACCTAAAAGTGAAAGCAAAATATGAAGAAAATTATTCTTCATTCTACAGCAATTTCTTCCTGTAGACTGAAATTTTAACTGAAAAACAAAGTTTTCTGTATGATTTTTTTGAATATAGTCCTGAGGCAGACAACATACTAATGAGTGACTCAGCTGGAAAGGTGGATCAGGACTTGACATTCACAGAGCAAAAAGTTAGTGGAGAAACTCAATAGGCCCCAACTGATTCACTATGCTTCCCTTATATCTGGTAGATGCCAGTATTACAGATCCTTAAAAACTGGATTTTTTTTTCCAGTACTGGGGATCGAACTTATGACCTTGCGCTTGCCAGGCAGGCACAGTGCCACTTAGCTATATCCCTGGCCCTCTAATTGGATTTTTAATCTCACTTTTCTCTCTTCCTCATCTTATTTTTCTTTTTCAAATTTTATTACTTCTAATTTTTGCATTCTTCATCCCTTCATCGTTTATTAATAATACTATCAACTTACATTTATTTTTAGCTAGTTTACTCTATGCAGTTATTGCTTATTTTTTTCCCCTATTGTTAATAGTGGTATACTTGTTGCTTTTAGTAGCACTCTACTGTATGTCAATATTTGGTTGTCTTGGGCCAGGGATTTAGCTCAGTGGCACCGCACCTGCTTTGCAAGTGCAAAGTCCTGAGTTCGATCCCCGATTCCAAAAAAAAATATTTGGTTGTCTTTGTGTCTATATTATTACTGCTGATCTCTTTTCTATTGTTAAGGGAGTATAATTGTTGCTTTTTACAATATGTCAACACCTGGTATGTCTTTGAATCTATATTATTATTGCTGAATTATACTGTTAATGATGACATAGTTGTTGCTTTTTTGTTTGCTTTTTTGAGACAAGGTCTTGCTATGTAGTTCAGGCTGGCCTTAAACTCACTATGAAGCACCAGCTGGCCAGAAACTCACAGTGATCCTCCTACCTCGGTCTCCCACGTGATGGGATTACAAACATGCACCACCATATCTGACAGTTGTTGCTTTTAATATGTTTTCACTGTGTGTCAATATCTGGCAGGTCTTTGTGTTGTTGACTTTACTGTGATTTGTTTTCTCCTCTCTGAGTGATGCTGGGGATTAAGCCCCTAAAAGAAGGCTGGACATGAAGAAGACCCTCAAATAAAAGTGGAAGGGATACTCATCCCAACAAATGCATGAATCTCAATGCAGAAACACAAGAAATATGAAAAAAATAAGGCAATGTGACCCCTTCAAATTTCTATAAATCATTGGTAGCTGAATGCAAAAATGAGGTGGATGAAATGCCAACGAATTCAAAAGACTGATTTAAAAAATGATTAATGACTTCAAAAAATATACAAACAGATAGTTGAAGATAATGCAGAAAATGAAGGAGCAATTCAACAAAGAGAGATTCTGAGGAAGAACCAAACAGAAATTCTGAGCCCAGGCATAGTGGTGCATGTCTGTTATCCCAGCACTCAGGAGGCAGAAGGATTGCTGTGAGTTCAAAGCCATCCTGGGCTACATAGTGAGTTCAGGGCCAGCTTGTACTACAAAGAGACCCTATCTCAAAAGACAAAAAAAACAAACAAACCCACAAACAAATAAAAAACGCCAAAAAAACAAGAGCAGAAATTCTAGACATGAAAAGCACAGTATGTCAAATTAAAAAACTCAGTGAAAGCCTCACCAACAGATATAGTCAGGCAGAAAACAGAATTCCAGGCTTGAAAATAAGGCTGAAGAACTATCATATGCATATGTTAAGAAAGATCCCCCCCCCACACACCCTGAAATTATGTGCAAAACATCCAAGAACTTTCAGACATCGTAAAGACTAAACTTAATGAATTTTTGTTGTAGAAAAGGGTACCAAGGTTCAGACTAATCTATTTAATGAAATAAATAAGAGAAAACTTTACAAATCTTGGGAAGGATATAGACATCCATGTATAGGATGCATTTAGACACCCAAATGCATGACCAGAAAAGAATCTCTCATATCATGTTATAGTTTGTGTAAGAGCACAGAAGAAAGAATAACTTCAGACTTTTCCATAGAAACCCTAAAGGCTAGGAGGGCAAGCAACAATATGTTTCAAGTCCTAAAAGAAAAGAATTGCAAAGACAGAAATTTTATTCAGGAAAGCTATCCTTCAAAATTGAAGGATAAATAAAGACCTTCCAATATAAGCATAAACCAAAGACTTTCATGACCACTAAGCTAGAACTGCAGAAAATACTCAAAGGGATAATACAACACAGAAAAGGAAGAATAGACAAGCTATTGAGAATTAGGAAAGAATCAAACATTAGAAAAACAACAAAATGACAGGAATTAGTACATATCTTTCAAATAGCTCTGAATCTAAATGATCTTAATTCTCTAATTAAAAGACATAGGCTGGCAGGCTGGATTAAAAAACAAGACTTAATTCTACTACTTGTGAAACACATCCCATTAGCAAAAACATATACAAAGTGAAAGAATGGGAAAAAAATATTCTATGCAGATGGAACCTGAAAGCAAGCAGGAGTAGCTTGACAAAGTAGTATGACAAAGCAGTCTTCAAGACAAAATTAGATAAGTCAAAGACCACTATATATTAGTAAAGGGAACAATCAATCAAGAAGATATAACAAGTGTAAGTATATATGTACCTAATATTGGTATGCCCAACTTCATAAAACAAATATTACTCAACATAAAGGAACATGTAAGTCTCAATACAGTAATAGTGGGTGACTTCAATACTACACTCTTACCAAGATGCATTATGTAAAGGTACAATTCCCAATGAGAAATGTAATTGTGTTGTATACCTACAATGTACCAATAAAAGAATTTAATACAAAAAAAAATACTCCACTCTTGACAATAGATAAATCATCCAGACAAATATCAGCAAAGAAATATCAGAGTTAAACTACACCATAAATCAAACAGACTTAACAGATATCTACAGAACATTCCATCCAACAACTACAGAATACACATTCATTTCAGCAGCTCATGGAACATTCTTCAAAAATAGATCATATTTTAGGATATAAAGCAATGCTTAACAAATTTTAAAAAACAATTTCTTGCATCTTATCAGATCATGATAGAATGAAACTAGAAATCAACAGCAAGAAAAACTACAGAAATTATACAAACACATGGAGATTAAACAATTCACTTTTGAAAAATCAGTGGGTCATTGAAGAAATCAGGGAAGAAATTTAAACATTCCTGGAATCAAATAGAAATACAACATACCAGAATCTCTGGAATATAGCAAAGGTAATTCTAAGAGGGAAATTTATACTACTGAGCGCCTACATCAAAAAAATCAGAGAAATTCCAAACAACCCAATGATATATCTCAAAGTTCTGGAAAAGCAAGAACAAACCAAAACCAAACCCAACACAAAAGAAGAAATAATAAAGATCAGAGCTGAAATTACTGAGATAGAGACTAAAAGAATAATACACAAGATCAATGAAACAAAAAGTTCTTTGTAAAGATAAACAAGATTGATAAGTCCATAGCCAAACTAACTAAAAGAAAGAGGAGACCCAAATCCATATAATTAAGAGGTAAAAAGGGGGATGTTATAACAGATAGCACTGAAATCCAGAAAATTACTGGGGAGTACTTTGAAAACCTATAAATTGGAGAATCTAGAAGAAATGGATAGATTTTAGACACATATCACCTATCAAAACTCAACCAATGGGGATATGAAAAACCTAAACAGATCAATAAGAAGCAATAAGACTGGAGCAGTAATAAAAGTTTCTCAACAAAGAAAAGCCTAGGGCCAGCTGGTTCACTGTTTAATTTTATCAGACCTTTAAAGAAGAAATAACACCAATGGTCTTCAAACTATTTCATGAAACAGAAAGGAAGAAATGCTTCCAAACTCATTCTATAAGGCCAACATTATCCTGATAGCAAAACAGGACAAGGACACAACAAAAAATACCCTTAATGAACATAGATGGAAAAATCCTTAATAAAATACCTGCAAACAGCTATAGCTTGTATCTAGATGTCCACAAAGTTTCATGCATTCATAGGTAGGGTTTTTAGGAGTGGCTGGATCATGGATATGTGATATTGGATTATAGGTTTGATTAAATGGATTAGTCCACTGATTGGTTTAGCACAGTTCTCAGTGTGGAAGATGGGAAGGCCCACCATGGGTGTGGGTGGCATCAAGGAATAGGCTTATAGCCCAAATGGAATAAAAAGAGAAAGGAAGGCTTGCTCCTACTGTCTCTTCTTGTCACACCATAAACTATTTCTCCTCTGTTAGGCCCCTCTGCCATGCTGCCTTGCCTTGGAACCAGCTGACTACAGACTGAAACCTCTACAAACTGTGAACTAAAACTTTTCCTCCTTTAATTTGTGGGTGTCAGATATTCTGTCCCAGCAATGAGCAAGTAACTAAGACACAAACCAAATTCAACAACATATTAAAAAGATAATAAACCATGATCAAGTTGGCTTCATTCTAGAGATGCAAAGATAATTCACCATATGCAGTAAATGTAATATACTGTACATACAGAATCAAAGATAAAAATCGATGATCGGGCCAGGGATTTAGCTCAGTGGTTCTGCCACCTGCCTCACAAGCACCCGAGTTCGATCCCCGGTACCAAAAAAAAAAAAAAAAAAATCGGATGATCATCTCAACTGACTAGGAAAAAAACCTTTGACAAAATTCATCAGCTCTGAAAAGCCCTGAAGAAACTAGGTTTTGAAAGCTCATTCCTAAATATAGTAAAGACCATACACTACATTCTGAAGGGGGGAAAACTGAAAGCATTTCCTCTAAGATCAAGAACAAAGCAAGGATTTCCATTCACCACTTCTTTAAATACAGTTCTTAAAATTCTAGCTGTAGCAATTAGGCAAGAGGAAGCAATGAAAGGAATACAAATAGAAAAGAAGTCAAATTATCTTTGTTCACAAGATGATATGACCCTATACTTAGAAGACCCTAAAGATTTCACCAAATGACTTTTAGAAATGATAAATTCAGCAAAGTAGCAGGATATAAAATCAACATTTAAAAGTCAATGGTTTTGGGCCAGGGATTTAGTTCAGTGGTTCCAGCGCCTGCCTCGCAAGTGCAAGGTCCCGAGTTCAATCCCCCGTACAAAAAAAAAAAAAAAAAAAATCAATGGTTTTTCTATAAACCAGTAATGAACTAGCTGAGAAAGAACATAGGAAAACAATGCCATTCACAATAGCTTTAAAAAATACCTAGGGATCAATCTAACCAAGGAGTAAAGATCTCTACAATGAAAATTTCAGAACACTGAAGAAAAAAATGAAAGAAAGACTAGAAGATGGAAAGACCTCTCGTGTTCATGGATTGGCAGAGTCCATATTACCAAAAGCAATCTCCAGATTTAATGCAATTCCCATCAAAATATCAAGGACATTCTTCACAGAACTGGAAAAAGCAATCCTAAAATTCATAGGGAAACACAAAAGACTCAGATTACCAAAGCAATTCTAGTTGACAAGAGCAAGGCTGGAGGCATCACAATACCTGATTCCAAATTATGCTACAAAGCCATAGTAACAGAAAGAGCATGGTACTGGCAGAAAATAGACATGTGGACCAATCAAACAGAACAGAGGACACAAAAACCCACACAATCACAGGCATCTGATTCTGGACAAAGGAGAAAAAACAGCATCTTTAAGAAATGGTGCTAGCAATACATAATAGCTAAATTTTGGGAGCAGCCTATATGTCCATCAACAGATGAATGGATAAATAAAATGTGGTATTTACACACAATGAAGTACTACTCTACCATAAAGAAAGATAAATTTGAGTCATTTATAGGAAAATGGATGTGCCTTAAGACCATAATGTAAGTTTAATAAATCAGACACATAAGTTTAACTATCACATGGTTTCTCTTATATGAGAAACCCAAATTATAAATAAAAGAACAAAATTAAAGATAGATAATAGGAATTAGGGAGCTAGATCTTTCTCAAACTAGAAATAGATCAAGAAATGGAGGTAGGGAAAGGGGATAAAAAAAGGAATTAAAATGTGATACGTACATGTACCAACTCCACATAAGGAATGTAAACACTATGTAATGCAAATATGTATTAATAAAAAAAGACATGACAGGCTAGCTTAGTCTTCATGAGCCATGAAATTCTATATTAAGAATGAATAAAAGTCACGATGCCAAATTTTAAAAATAGTACCAGAGAAACTTCCACTTGTAGAAGTTTGAAACTAGATCTGTATGTCTTACACTGTTCAAGAATCAATTCTGGGCTGCAGATTTATCTCAATGGTGCTGGGCCTGCCTCAGAAGCTCAAGGTCTTGAGTTCAATCCCTGGTACTGGGGGAAAAAAAATCAACTCTGAATGCATCAAAGACCTAGGTTTAAGGTTTGAAACTTTGAAACTATTAAAAGAAAAACAAAATTCAAAAACATAGAGGAAACAACTGAAACCATAGGCTCAGGGAAAGACCTCCCGAAACTCTTAAAGGTGGGAGCTCCAGGATCCTTTTCTCTTTCTGCCTCACCCTCTGTGGTACTTTTCTTCCATCTTCAGGGTCATTTTGTGGTAGATACAATGACTGCTGCAACTCCAATTACCATGGTACAGAAAGAAGGAGGGAGACACCTGCCAGCTCCACTGGCTTTCTTAAAAGTCTGTCTCAAGTCCTCCATTTAGTATATATACTGCCAAAGCGAGCACACAGGACCTCCACTTAAATTGTTTTGGCCTCTTTAATAAATGGCACTGGGAAAACTTGATGTTCTTATGTAGAGGACTGAAACCAGGACTCTCACCCTGTACAAAAAAAAAAATCAATTCAAAATAGATCAAAGACCTATGTATAAGTCCTGAAACTTTGAAACTATAAAATGAAAACACACGGGAAACTCTTGAAGTCATAGGTATAGGCAAAGACCTCCAATAGCACAGAAGACAATAGCAAGAATCAACAAATGGGACTAAATGAAATCCAAAAATTTCTTCATAGCAAGAAAATGATCAAAGAGTAAAGAGATAATCTACAGAATGGAAGAAAATATCTGTCAGCTACTTTTCTGACAAGAGAATTAATATCTAGGATATATAAAGAATTCAAAAAACTTAACACCAAGAAGTCAAATAGCCTAATCAAAAAATGGGGAAAAGAATTGAACAGATGCTTCTCAAAAGTACAAATGACCAATAAGTATGTAAAAAAAATTCAACATCTTTACCCACTAGGGAAATGCAGATCAAAACTACATTGAGATTCCATCTCCCTCCAGTCAGAACGGCTGCCATCGAGGATACAAAAAAAGAAAAAGTGCTCACAAAGATGCAGGAAAAGAAGGAACCCTTCTACACTGTGGTAGAAATGTAAATTAGTATAGCCACTATGTAAATCAATATGGAGGGTCCTCAGAAACTAAAAATAGAACTACCATTTGATCCAGCTGCACCACTCCTTGGTACATACCTGAAGGAGTTAAAGTCAGCATATCATGTGGACACCTGCATACCCATATTTATCGCAGCACAGTATTCAATAACCAAGATATGAAACTAGCCTCGGTGTCTATTAACAGATGAATGAAGAAAATCTGATATATGGAGAGATTGATATACATATATTGGAGTATCATTTGGCCACAAACAAAATTCTGTCATTTGCAGAAAAAATGGATCTATATATCATCACGTTGAGTAAAAAATGCCAGACTCAGAAAGGCAAATATTGCATGTTCTACTTAATATGTGGAATCTAGAAAAGGTGACAAGAAAGTAGAAGGGAGACTTTTATTAGACAAGAAGAAAGGAAGAAGGAAGAGGGAGAAGATGTGTAAGGGCAGTTAATAGGGGCAGAAATATGATAAAAATACACTGTACATACTGAAGCCCCTCAGTGTGAAACTGCTTGGGGAGGACTGGGGCAAGGGAGGGAAAAGTAAGTTGTGTGCATGTTGAAATCTGCCAAGATGAAATATTTTAATCTGTATAACCACTATGCACTGAAAAATGTGGGAGGAAAAAAGAAACAGTAAAACAACTAAGAATGAAGAAAGGGCAGAAACCAGCAAGGCTGCAAAGCCTCGGCAGGAAAATATTCCAGTTTTTTAGAGGGGAAGAACTGGTTTGGGCTGATCTAGTCTGATTCAGATTTCTACAGCACAACTCAATCAACTCTGGCTCACAAATAACATAAATATGGTTGTGAAGACCCTATTTTTATTATGGAATGTTGCCAGAGTAAGATAAATGATTGTGCACATACCCAAGAGAAATCTACTACCAGTATGAACCCATTTTTATAAGAGGACACCTGCAGATGCCTGTGTGTGTTACATGGTGATGGAATAATGAATTATCTCTCTTTAAAAAAATTCAACAACAGACACATCATGGAGTGGTAGAAAGAATATGTGATTAGGAGGTGGTAGGTTTGGATCTGCTACCATTATTTAGCTTTGACCCTTGGGCAAATCACTGAGCTTTTCTCGGTCCTGGTTTTCACAGATCCAGGTGGTGGTAAGAAAAATACTTTCCCTACTTATACTCCTGGAGGCATGACTTCTAAATGGTTCTGAAGAACCATTTAGAACCATTGTTTGAAAGTATCTTTTATTTACTGAGCTCCTCAAAGGTACCAGCCTGTGCTGAATGCTGTGAGAGCCACACAAGTGAATAACCCACTTGGTCCATGCTCAAACCACAGCACCTGATGTCATCAGTAGAGAGAAAGGGTATCAACAATGTCCTAAACAGCACAGCAAAGATAACAACAAAAAGATGGCTGACTAAACTTTATTAATTACTGAACAAGAATGTGGCTTTTATTTTGTACAGTTGCAAGTTCTGAGGGCAGGTGATAAGGACAAACTAAACTGCATATTGTTAAATAATGGGGTTTTGGTAATTATTTTCTCTCTATGCTAAAAGGGAATCATTACTCTCTAGAAGGCTGACTTTCCCATAATCCATCTTTTTGGTATATATCTCTTGGTTGTCAATGGAGACATTCCAACAGGCAATATTTCCCCTTGATCCTAAAATTTTTATATAGCTCTGAAAACCCCAAAACATGATTCAAAAAAGCACTACAAAGAGCCCTGACCAAAAATAGAGTGGTTTTTACTATGGTTCAAATATAGTTAGGGGAAAAAAATGTCCCTATACTTCTACAGTAGTAGCCACAACTCATGAGTTTCTTCATGAACCTTATAGCTACAAATAAAATCTGAACGGCACACTTTCACTGAGTATCACTTCAAAATTTACCTTGATTCATTTGTTCCTCACTACCACCTTCTAAGGTAGGAACTACCACTCTTCCTGTTTTACATGAAGGGGGCTGAGGATTGGTCAAGTGACTTAAGTATAAGCTCTGGCCTCAGACACAGTAGAACCATACTTAAACGCAGGGCACTTGCCCTAGAGGTCTACCTCCCTGTGGAAGATAAGCTTCTCAGACCAAAACTTTTTTTCCCATTGACCTTAAAATTACTCCCCACAGTTTTCTAGGTTTCTAGTATGCAGTGAGGAGGTCACAAACAGTGTCCTGGAGGAGAAAGACCCTGGGTTATTACACTGAGATCCTCAGGACACAGTACACCGGGCACCTGGCACATGCTGTATGCCTGGTTACTATTTGTTAGGTAAAAGCACATTTAGGAGAACAAAATGCTCTGATTCGGGGTTCTGTTTTACCTGCAGATGGTTTCCATTTCCATGCCAGAAAACCCGAATGCACTGTCTCCCTCCACACAGATGACCCGCTGCCCGGGGCTTCTATCTTTAGCTACCAGAGCAGCTGCAATAGCAAATCCCAAACCGACTCCCATTGTTCCGAAAGTACCAGCATCAAGCCTGTTGGGGAACAAAGCTAAAATAAAACTCTCCAGGTCATGTCACAGAGGGTAGGGTTGGCACAAATCTTCTAGTCATGTTTACATTACCAGGGTTTGTGGGAAAATAAAGACATGTTAAAACAGTCTCTAAACTTTTTAGACTGTAAAGAACTAATTTGTTAAGGATTAGCTGTATAAGAGGAAAAGGCCACTTATGATTATTTGGAGGGCTGTACACGTGCTTAGAACTCTGACTATACAATGATGCCAAGGACATACCAAGCAAAAAAACTTCACAAAACTTCACATAAGAATACATTTATGAAATATGTCCTTAGACACCAAACATGTAGAGTTATGAAATATTTTCTTAATCTGCATTATTATCATTTCAAATTAAATATATAATTAGTTCTAATTTTTTTCTTGGAAGTCTTACCTGTGACGAGGAAGGTAGTTTTGAAGCATAGTGCGTCCAATGTCCATGGTATTTGCTCCTTCACTTACCAAAAAACAGTCTTTGGGCAATTGTTCTTGAACATGGTAGAACACTGTATAATAATTCATAGGCAGAGATATTTTGGAAGCTAATTCCTGAAACAGAGGGGAACAATGAAAATAACCAATGTCAGTAAGCTACCATCAAGCCTGTTTGGAAATAGCTAGGCAACAACTATAAGTTACAGATTCCCAGATGGCTGTCCAACAGCTACTCTGAGAAACTAGTTGATCATGAACAAACCTGAGGGATATGCTAAGAAAAATATGTCCCACAGTCTCACCTTAGGACATAGAAAACTGCACCCAACTGAACCAAGATACACAGGAATATACAAAATACCAAAAACTCAGAAACAGCCTATCTTACAGTCAAAGAAAAAGCGTGGTTGACTCATAAATCTATTTCAAGATTTTAAACAGAAGGCACCAAACCCTGTAGAAATGACTCATTTTAGTGATAGTAATGAATAGTTCGGTGGTATCAGAAGTTGCTACAATTTCCAGTCTTCGCTATCAAGCAAAGCCACAGTTGAGAAAACCACAAAAGAATCTCCAGCAGTGATACAAAAATTAAATGAAAAAGAAGACCACCTATTGGGTCAAATTTTTACTTTTGATGAAAGAGCTATTTATTATACTCTCATGCCTTGAAGGATCTGTAACTTAAACGCAAAAAACATGCTCCAACATGTCCCAGGATTTAAGGTCTAAAAGACTGCCTAATATTTATGTTCTGTGCCACAAACTAAGGACAAGTTACACCCACCCATCTCTCAGTAACTCATAAGCTGGTAACTCTTCTGATACCCAATTTAAAAAATTTTTTCTGGTATTTTTCAAGGTAAAGTACCATACTATTGTAATATTTGTTGTTCTTAATCATTTAACATGATTAAGCCTTTTTACTACTTTTATTAGATTCCTATCTTATTTATTTTTTAACGAAGTTTTTGAGCTCTGTACCTAAGCTCTTTTCCTGAGCTGTGTAATTTCTATTGCACAATTTTGCACAGCGCAGTGCATTATGACAGAATTAAGTGAGTCATGAACTTCAAGTGTTCTTGAGTTTCAGTGGTTCCCACATTACCTTGGATGCAGCTTCATTGCTCTTCATTTTTTCTCTCAATCTTTTCCACCACTTGCTTTCTGGAGGATACTGCCACGGTATCTTATCAAATTGTTCTAAAAGCTAAAGAAAAAGCATAAGCCTTTTATTTTCTTTTGAAAATAAACTTGATTACATTAAATACAAAAATCTCTTCCTAATAAACTTGACATTGCTCATACTCTTTGCTTTTCCTCTAAGCACCAGTAACAGAGAAGATAAAATGGGTGATCTGGTAAGCTTTTGTTTGGATTAGTGTAGATTTCTGCCAGATGTTGGGATTCCTATAACTGAGACTCAAGTGTTACCTCCTCCACATTTTACAGGCAGGGGTCCTTAAGTCCTCCTCAGTCTTTGACACTAAAGAAGGAAAAACACCCCTCCATGGAACCCTTAGGGGAAGCCTAACAAATAGCTATAGTGTCCTTGACACAAACCCAGTGCTCCAGAGTAAGTACATGTATGACTGAAATCTGCCTCTTAGTTCTGTGTACTTATAATACAAAACATAGAAAAACAAGTGACAGATGTGACTATATTTTATTGCTGGTCACAATTCAATATATAAATTATGTATAAAGAATAAGATGGACAAGTCACTGATTACAGTTTGAAGAGTTAAGAGGTCTTAAAAAATTAACTAGATTTTTCCAGTGTATAAGCCATTTCTTGGCTATAAACGCAATGCCTTTGGAAGTTATATTATAAATTTTTGATAGCTGGATTCTACTAGTAAATCCCTGTTTCCTTACTGAAGAACTTTAAATTTCCAAGTGCCTTCCACATAATGCTTCATATATGAGCTATGTACAAGAACTTAGATTTACCAAGTTCCAAAGTTATATTTAAGAGCAGTTTTCCAAATTGATCAAGATGCAATATGTGCACGCACTAATGCACCAAGATGATCACAATTATGTATCACAAACATATACTAAAAGTGAGTAGCTTTCCATCATAAACTTTGTTTAAAATAGGTATTACTAGACATTTTCTTTTTTTTTTTTTTTTTAGACAAACATTTTCAAGAACTGATTGTTCCTTAAAGATCAATCCACATCAACTTAAACCCAGGCAAAAATTCTTTCCTGTTTAAGGCCAGGTGTGGTGGTGCACACCTGTGATCTCAGCACTCGGGAGGCTGAGGCAGGAGGAGTACCATGAGTTCGAGGCCAGCCCTGGGCCCCATAATGAGTTCAAGGTCAGTCCTGAACTACATAGTGAGACCCTGTCTCAAAAAAAAAGTTCTTACCTGTTTAGCAACAGCATTTATGTCTCCTAGCAGAGTCACAGCAGGCTTTACATTATTTCCCAATTCTTCTGCACAGATATCAATCTATAAAAGAGAAAACGTTGAAGACCAAGCCAGTTTACTCTTAAAAATCTTTAAAAAGTCAATTAGAAAAAAAAAAAGAAGTCAAGGCTGGGGATTTAGCTCAGTGGTTCCATCACCTGCCTTGCAAGCACAAGGTGCCGAGTTCGATCCCCAGTACCAAAAAAAAAAAAAGTCAATTAGCGTTGAATAAATGAATTGTGTATATATGATGTAATAAAAAAGACTTGACATTCAAGACATTCTTTAATAAAAGTAAAAATCCATACAACTATGAATACTAAAGCTAGTGTAGAGAACCTCATTATCTTCCCTTATTTAAAATTTACTCTATGGAATTTTGGTATTGTACCATACACTCTCAGAAATGCATGTGACCTGATCAATTATAGTTCTGAATCTAACTAATAATAAGGTTCTACTGCTTAAATTTGTAATTTCTATGGAGAATAGGGGTTCTCAAATTTGAGCGTGCATCAGAGCCACCAAGTGGGTTTTTGTTAAACCTACACAGTGGTGATGTCTCACTCAGATTCTGACCTCAACATTTCCAATGGTTCTCAGGTGATGCTGATGCAGGAAGCCCAGAGACCTTACTTTAAGGACCACTGCAAGAGCATGGCATGATTAACTCCCCATGTTCTCAGAAGCTCCATGCATGGCCAAGTGAAAACGGCTTCTGCAAGGAGGGATAATTTACCCATCCTAAGGGGGACACATTTTAGTTGGTAATCAAGAAGAGCAATCAGGAGGTAGCAGCATCTTCCAGGCACAACCCACAATCTTGCTTGTGTTTTTTAGTTCTCAATGGCCCCATGCGGGAAAGGGGCTATCAGAAGCTGACTCCTTAGGAAGCAAATGGTAGACTGGGAGTAGACAGCAATGGCAGCTAAGTCACCAAACCTCAATGGAATGGGGCCAATCTGTATAGGGTAAACAGGGTTGCACGTCACTATGTAGGTAGGCACTTCCCATAGTATGGAAATGGCTTATAAAGAGGGTCATGATGATACAAGTCATCAAAAACAGGTCAGAATATTTTTCAGTTACTCTGTTTTATTTATTTATTTTTTGGTACCGGGGATCGAACTCGGGTCCTTGCGCTTGCACAGCAGGTGGCAAAACCACTGAGCTAAATCCCCAGCCCTCTGTTTTATAACATAGGTGAAGGGAAACTTAAAAGTTTAGAGATTTCCGACTAATGGTGAAAGAAAGTTTTGGCATTAAATGAAAAACTCTGTAACAATGTGAATATTTATTTCTAATCTACTACCCTACTTAAACCTCTTTTCATACACATGAACTGTGAAGAAGAAATGAATTATTTCTTCAAACTATTCAAAACTTAATTTTGAATGGTTTTCTGGTTAGAAGTACAGTGGCACATTATGTCTCTAGGATTGGAAAGTCAACTTAACTTTGTGGTTCCTATAACTGCATTAGACAATTTATAAAACCTACTACTGTAAAAAAGAGAAAAGGTTTTTTACAAAAGCCAAGAAGAAAGCAGAGCCAATATTGGCTAAAAAGGAGAAAAATGAATCACAGGTGTGATTTGAAATCTCTCCTAAGTACCTGGATAAACTTCACATCTGGCTGATATCTTGGAGGCAGTCCAAAATGTAAAATCCAATTTAGTCTGGCACCAAATAAGACAATCACATCAGCAAACTGCAAAGCTCTATTTAAAAAAAAATAACTGATGTAACATAAAAGTATATGTAAAATATTCAAATATTTTACTATTTGAATTGTCCTAAAGTTGATTTTACAAGTAGTTAAGTCTAATTTGGAGCTTATATTATACTTACAAATTTAGCTTCTGGGTAAATTTGGTCTTTCAAAACAAAAAAAATTTATAAAATCATTCTATTTAAATAGTAATCTAAAAGATAAAGTAGAATAAATATTATCATAAATTATATATATACTCTATTCCATTCATTACTTTTTATCAGGCCAGGGATTTAGCTCAGTGGCACTGTGCCTGCCTGGCAAGCTCAAGATCCTGAGTTCAATTCTCAGTACCAAAAAAAAAGTTATTACCTTTCATCATTAGAAAAATTAATGTAAGTCTGGGGCTGGGGATTTAGCTCAGTGGTTTCGCCGCCTGCTGCGCAAGCACAAGGACCCAAGTTTGATCCCCGGTACCAAAGAAAAAGAAAAATTAATGTAAGTCTATTGCAGCTAATCAAAAAAATGTATAATGAAAAGTTAAAACAACCCCAAATACTATCAAATTATAAACGAATATCCTGGCATATTTCCACTTAGTCTTTTTTTTTTTTGGTACCAGGGATCGAACTCAGGTCCTTGCACTTGCCAGGCAGGCAGCAGAACCACTGAGCTACATCCCCAGCCCTATATTCTTTATACAGTCAGAATTTATTTAATGCTTTTTTTCAATTGCTGGGTATTTTCTTTGTTATTAATAGTACTGGCTTGCACTTCATGCTTGAATCTTTTCTTCTCTTCTCTCTCTCTTTTCTTGCAATGCTGGGGATGAAACCCAGGACTTTGCTCCTGCTAGGCAAGCCCTGTATCACTGAGCCACACCCCCAGCCCCTGCTTGAATCTTAATGCACACTTCACATTGACTCTTAGGATTTTTTCTTTAAAGAGTATTAATTCATACATCTGAACTGCTTTCTAAATTACTATACCAAGTTAATTCCTTCCCTCCCTTCCTTCCTTTCTTTTGTGGTACCAGGGATTGAACCTGGGGTGCTATACAACTGAGCTACATCCCTGTCTAAAACATATGGGAGTAGTCTGGTTTTTTTCTTCTTCAGCTTGCCCAGCTGTGGCAGCCTCAGTAGTGGGGTACTATAAAGCAGCAAGAGCCAGGAAAAGGGGCTCCCAGAATCCAAGAGTGAAGCAGGAGAGCCATAGACATTCTAAAGAGAAGAGAAAAGACATTCCCAATTTTGGATATGAACCAGCATGGGTTTGGGCCTATCTTTGAGCCAAGCATATGTAGACAGACAAAGCAGCAAAGCAATGTCTCTGAAACTGAACTGACCCTGGAACAACTGTAATAACAGAGAATTTGAGGTCTGAACCCAACCAAACCAAACCTAACTGACTGCTTAGGAAAACGAACAAATGACCCTGAATCTTACAATATAATATTAAAACATTCAGGATATAATCCAAAATTACACCAGGTGCAATAATGGTGGCATACGCCTATAATTCCACCACTCTAGAAACTGAGACGGGAGGATCACAACTTTAAGGCCAGCCTGGACATCTTAGCAAGTTCCTATTTTAAAGAATAAACAGGATTGGGGTAGTGCATGCCTGGGTTCAATCCCCAGTACCACACACACACACACACACACACACACACACACACACGCACACACACACAACCAAAAAAAAGCTCCAAAATTACTTAGAACAGAAAAATGTGACCAATTCTCAAAAAAAAAGGAAAATAGGTGCTAATCAGAGTTGTTCCAGGTGTTAGAACACCAAAATGAAGACTTTAAAGCAGCTATTATAACTAAGTTTCATAAAGGAAAGAAAAATATTCTTGAAATAAAAATAAAGGTAGAAGTTCTCAGCAAAGAAACGGAAAATTTAAGAGACAAAAGGATTGAAAAGAAATTAACAGCTATTCAGGGAACTGTGGATAATGTCAAAATACGTAATATTTGTATCAGTAGAGTTCCAGGAGAAGACAGATTGGTGTAGAAAAGTTTTTGAAGAAATAATAATGAAAACCTTTCCAAATTTAGAGAAATAAATAAATTTATAGATTCAAAAAACTTTTAGAACTCCAAAAGGATAAAACAAAAGAAAACCCTTTCTAAATACATCATAATTAACTGCTGAAAGCCAAAGATAAAGAAAAATATTAAAAGTACTTGGAGAAAAACAATACATTAAACATAAGAGAACAATGATTAAAATGACTGCAAATTTCTCATCTAAAACAAGGCCAAAAGGAGGTCTGTAACATCTCTACCCTGCTAAAAAGTAAAACAAATGGATGAGCTTAGAATTACATCATTCTTTCAGACCTTCTCTCTGGATTCAGTTAGTAAAGTCACAAAATAAATGTAGCTTAAAATCTTCCATGTGACTATATTTAAAATCTGAAATGCCACGTACCTGGATCTGGCTGCACTTACACAGTTTGCGTGGTTGTCAGGGACAACACCCTTGCCCATAGGAGTGGGCAAAAATGGCAATTTACATTGCTCCACCAATTTCCTGATATTTTCCTCTGCATGTGCATAAGCAGCACCTACAAGAAATGCAAATGTATTGAACAAGTCAGTTAAGCTTGGCACTAGGACCCTAAAAATAGTTCATGTGAAATTGCTTTTTGATCTCAAATATTCTCCTGTTTATATATGCGGTTAAACACAAAATATACTGGGCCATGGATTTTATTATTGGTATTTAAATATGCTTAAGAAAGCAATAACTCTAATTTCCCCTCAATAATATTCTCAATTATTCCGAACAAGGTCTAAACAAAATTTACATTTTGCATCTCTTTCTGTTGTCCCTTACCTTCTACACTATGGGTTTGCTGAACTACTACCCACAATTCTCTGAACATACTGTCTTTTCTGGGAGGTCTAAGTAGGCAAGGAAGAACTTTGCCCTGAGAGAGAAAGGTTCCCTCCATCTTCATACATTGCCATCCATCACGAGCAATCCTATTCTGCAGAATCCACTAGTCTAAGGGGCATACATTTCTACAGCTCCACACATCTTTCTAAAGGTTCTACATGCCAGGTGTGGTGGCACACACCTGTAATCCCAGCACTTGGGAGGCTGAGGCAGGAGGACTGGTGTGAGATTAAGGCCAGGTTGGGTAACACAGTGAGTTCAAGGTCAGTCTGAACTACATACTGAGACCTTGTCTCAAAAAAACAAAATAAAAAAAAATGTTCTACAATTCTGTGACACCACATGTATATCCTCCATCCATGTTTTCTATAATCCCTACCTCATCATAGGCCTCGTCAAACGTTTGTTAAAGAATGAAAACTAGCATCCACTGAGTGGTTGCCACATATTTTGCTATTTAATATATCCTATTGAAGTAGTTAATAATTCTATTTACCAGTGAGGTACTGAGACCCAAAGCAATTGTTTACCAAAGTGACAAAGTTAATAAATATATCCCATCATGCAGTCAACTCAGCTCTGACCTAAATTTTTTTCTGTTGTTGACTATTTTTTAAAAAAACTAGTTTTCATTTGTATGTAGTAAATTTCTAAGTAACTTATAACTTGATTAGCATGGTCATAAGTGATCCCAACAGCCTCAGTTCTAAAACACAATTTATTAAACGATAATAAATTGCTGACAGGAGTATAAACTGGTTGGTACAACACCTCAGGGAAAAGTAATCTTAAGTTATCTCTTAACTTAGTTAATACTTTTTATGGGGGTCTATTTTAAATCCTAAATATCGGGCCAGGGATGTAGCTCAGTGGTGCCATGTCGGCCTGGCAAGTGCAAGGTCCTGAATTCAATTCCCAGTACTGGGGGAAAAAATTCTAAGTATAGATAAAGATCAGGACACAAACATATTTGTCATAGCCACTATAAACAAGCTGTCTATATAGTAGGATCACAACAGAAAACATGCATGAGAAAAGGAATAGAAAAATAATAAATTTAAAAACAGTTTGCTTAGATGAAGAGATTTCTTCTTCCTACTTTTCTACATTTTCCAATTTAGAGGGAGGCATTGGAGACTGAACCCAGGGCCTTTGCTGTATTTCCAGTCCTTTCTTTATTTTTTATTTTTGAGATAGAGTCTTTCTAAGTCATTAAGTTGCCACAGCTGGACTTGAACGTGTGATTCTCCTGCCTCGTGCTGCAAAATTTACGTCTCAAAGGTAGGAGATATTTCCTTAAATGAGTAAGAACTCTGGGCATCTGAGGATAATTCTATGATTTGAAAACTAACAAAATAAAATGGATGAAGAATATTCTTGTTACATCTATGAAAACAATTTCTAAAAAGTACCAACAGTCTTTCAAAAGCGAAGGAGGCTGAAGAGTTCTACTCAATCCTACCTTTCCCGATGACAAGAAGGGGCTGTTTGGCACTCCTAATAACAGATGCTGCCAGACAAACAGCAGAGGCTTCTGCCATGGTAACAGGAGGTGGCATGCAGCACTCTTTATACCTAGAAACAAACAGCTCTGTTAATCAAGAAATCAACTCTAAAATTTTTTACTGTGAAAATTTCAGATATATAAATAGGTAGGAAAAATAGTATAATAAACTCTATATACTCACCATGTAGATTCAACAACTAACACCTTTTTACATTTGTTTTACACACATGTGTCCACGGAAAGATTTCTGCTTTCTACTTTTCTGGGTTTTTCTAGAATTTTTAATAATAGGAAAAAACCTACTTTACTCATAAGATCAAAGAAGTATCATCAATAATCCAATGGTCTCTGCCAGCAGGAATATACTAAATAGTACCTAGGCTAATGCATTAACCCAAGGACCCATCCTTCAGGGGTGACTGAGATATCAACGAGGAAAAAAAAATTTTTTTTAATACTTCTTCTCACTTTTTTTTTTTACACAGGTTCTCGCTATGTAGTCTAGGCTGGGCTCAAAGTCTAGATCCTCCTGCCTTAGCCTCTTGAGTTCTAAAATTACAGGCATGCAACACCATGCTCAGCTTTCCTCAGTATTTATTTAAGAAATAAAGGGACATGAAAAAATCATAGAAACATCTGTTAGAACATTTTTAAATTAAAGAGATAGCTAGACTAATATTTTTATGCTGAGTCCTAATAAGTTTTCAACAATTACTTCATCTCTTTGCTTATACTAGCACTGTCAATAACCCATTAACTGCGTTAATGGGTATATGTATTTGTGGTTATTGGAGGAATAATTTCAAATGAGGAAAGCATTGGATAGAGCCCAAAGTAGTTACTAAATAATACCATTTTAATTAACAGAATTAAGGCCTTTGGCTAGGATTCAGTAATTATTAAATAATCAAGTTAAGACAAATGGACATTAATTTATAAACTGCTAGGTAAATTCTTTTAAAAGCCAGGTATAGTGACACACCCTTGTAATCCTAGCAGGGATGAGGCAGGTGGAACACAAGTCTAAGCCCAACCTGGGCAATTTAACAACTTAGCCAGACCGTCTCAAAATATTAGCTCAGTGCAAAGGCCCTGAGTTCAATCCCTACCGCTGTGAAAAAAATTAGGCACTGTGATGACACAATTAAGATTGCAAATAACTATTACTCACTTTATAGAGTTCACATTCACCTGGACGGTCACAAAATCTGCAGGTATATCAACATAACAAGCACCTGGACGACCATAGATACTGATTCTCACAGCCTATGTTTATTACAGATAGAAGAAAAGATTTTGTTAAAATCTCAATTTTTATTATCATATTCCATTTAAAGATACTATTTAAGGGGCCAGGGATTTGGCTCAGTGGTTTCACCCCCTGCTGCGCAAGCGCAAGGACCCGAGTTTGCTCCCCGGTACTCAAAAAAATAAATAAATAAATAAATAAAGATACTATTTAACTGTGAAATGAATACTATTTTAATTTTTCTAGACATCCTTAGTTGGAGAAAAAAAAATGTTAATTAAAATTGCAATGCCCTCCATTAAGTCTATGTTATTTTAAAAGGTAAAGTATGTTTGTTTTAAATGGGAGAGATAAAGTATTCCTTAGGACTTTAAAATTCCTGTTCTAACTGGGCATGGTGGTGCACGCCTATAATCCCAGCATTCTGGGAGGCTGAGGCAGAAGGATTGCACATTTCATCCCAAACTGGGCAATGTAATGACTTATCAAGACCCTGTTTTAAAATTTAAAAAGCACTGGGAATGTAGCTCAATGGAAAGACCCTAGGTTCAATACTGTGTAACCCCCACCCTATGCATATTCTATTACATATGGTGTTAGCCTTGGAAATTATTCCCTAGGCTTTACTTACCAAGTTTTTATACTATAATATGTACTTTCACCTGCTTCCTGATCCTGATTTGGCAAAGATTTCAGGAACTGGGATGTTGCAGTATGTGTCTAATCATTTTTATTATTGTTTTGAAATGGCTCAAATATAATTTCATGTACAAATGCTAGATAGCTAAAATTAATTTACAATGTACTGTTTAATTGACTAAGAAATGACCTTATATGCGTTAATCTCAACTTTTAAAACTAATTTTTTACAAAAGCATAAGAGAAAGAATATCCAGGAATTTAAACCTTTACTTTAGTATAACTGAAATTTAATTTTACCCCTGTGTTTATATAGCTAAATACAGCAGGACTGAATATTAAAATGTAAATAGCTGTTTAACAATGTCATTTTAACAGCCTGGGTAAATTACTAATTGTTAGTTAATCTAGTAAGAATAGAAATAACAGTGCTTTAAAAAAGAAACACACACACAGTGCTAGAAGTATAGCTCATTGATAGAGTATGTGTTTAGCCTTCATGAGAGCCTGAGTTCAATCCCCAGGACAGCTTGTTAAACACTGTACCTTTTCAATGACAGAGGGAATACCTTCTATGCTGGTTGGCCGAGCAGAGAACTTGCTATATAATCTACAAGCTTCAACCTACACAGAAAAATGAAAACCATTTAAAATTAAGCTCACAGTCATATTACTCTTCTGAAGGAAGACAAAGTGTGAAATCATTACTTTCTATTACATTTAGAGGTCAGATGGGGAAAATGATTTAGAATGTCTCTTAAAAGCCTACTGAAAGCTGGCAGGGTGGCATATGCCTGTAAATCCAGCACTCAGGAGGCTGAGGCAGGAGGATTGGCATGAACTTGAGGCCAGCTTGGGCTAAACAGTCAGTTCAAGGATGGCCTGAACTACACAGTGAGACCCTGTCTATTGAAATAACAAATTTCTACATCAGTATGATTCAGGAAAACAGACACCATTTTCAGTTCTCAGATTAACAAAGATGAGAAAGTGTTGTCTACCACAACACAGGAAAACGGGCACTCTCATAAACTCCTGGTGAGAGTATAAATGGGAAGGGGAACTGATAAAATGTCTACAAGAAATCTTAAGCAGAATATTACTGAGCCCAGCAATTCCACAGCTTCATTGATCTTTTTCCTCAGTTTTTAATTCAATTGTATAAACTGCTATTATTTTCCTTTTCAGGAAAAAAAAAACATGTGTTTTTTTCATTGATACAGTTTTTATAGCAACGGTAAATTTCCTTTTAGTTAACTTATCTGGTCTACTTTTTCAGATACATCAGCACCTTCTAAATAACTGCTGTTACTATCTACCATCAATTAAGTAAAACTTCAGTGCCCTTCCAAGACCATAAAACTGTAACTTTTACATGAACTTATACCAGAGTCTGCTATTTTGTATTAGTTAATCATAGGTAAAACTCTGTTTGTGGCTGTGGATGTAGCTCACTGGTAGAGTGCATGCCTAGGATGCATAAGACCCTGGGTTTGAAACTTAGCAAAGCATGAAAAAAATCTTTTATATTTTTGAGTTTCTCATAGTAATTCCTGATTTACCAACAGACTTTGTCAATAGTTTTAACTTTGCTCTTAACTTTGTCCTGCAAACACTCAAATAAGCTGGGTGTGGTGGTACACGTATGTAATCCCAACACGTGGGAGACTGAGACAGGCGGATCACAGAAAGTTCACGGCCAGCCTCAGCTACATAGTGAGTTCGAGGCCAACCTAAACTACATGGTGAGACCCTGTCTCAGAAAACTGAAAATAAAGCAAAATGCTCAAATATTTTTATTTTTTGTCATTTATTCTCACTTATTTGCTTTCCACGGCTATTCTTAATACTGTTTTATTTTTGTATTTTTTTGTGGTACTCAGGATTGAACCCAGGGCCTTCACAATGAACTATATTCTCAGCCTTTCATGTTTAATTTTTTGAGACAGGGTCCTGCTAAGTTGCTAAGTTACCCAGGCTACAACTCTCGAACCTCCTGCCTCAGTCTTCCAGTGTGGGGAGTACAGGTATAAGACCCCACATTCAGCAAAACTGTAATGCTTTCTTGACAAATTCTGTCAAGTTTCTTTTACTTCTAAAACACTTCCTTCCCCTTATAAAATAAAGATAAACGCAGAATCTACTGATAATCATTTTGAGTAGGATTTTTCTTCTCAGCTTTTTATTTCCATAACATCTGGGAGGCATAGTCCAAAGTCATTTTTCCACTCACCTAAACCTCACATTCAGCTATTTTAGCAATGTATTTGATAATGTATATCTTTATGTTTTGAAACATGGTCTTGCTATATATAATCCAGATTGTTCTTGAATATACTGTGCAGCCCAGGCTGGCCTCAAACTTCCTGCCTCAGGCTCCCATGCTGGGATTACATGCATGCACTGGCTTCTAAAGTCACTTTTATTCCTACATTTTCTTGCCTCTGAGAAGAAATCCTGTCAATTTTGGTGCATTTCTTGAAAGCCTGCTGTAAGTAAGGCTTAGGCAGCCCCTTCTTACTATCCACCTGAGATTGCTTTGTTCAAAAAATTACCCATAAAGTATTTCAGGTACCTCTAACTTATTTTTTAAATTTTTCAGACAATTTTTTTTTGAGGTGCCAGGGATTGAACTCAGGACCTGGCGCGTGCCAGGCAGATGCGGCACCACTGAGCTAAATCCCTGGCCCCTCAGACAATAACTTTTAAAATCCTGTCCATAACTCTAAAACACTAGATACCTGAGGAAACTCCTGAAAGGCTCCCATTGTTTCTTGATTTCTTTCAGAGGAACCACCAATCACAATCAGGGGCCTGAAATAATTTTTAAGAAAAAAATTACAAATGATATCATGTAAAATGCTCAGCAGAGTGCCCAATGCAAAAGAAACAACTCAATAAATGTTAAAGAGAGACAGAAACAAATAGATACACAGAGAAGCCACATTACATCCTTCCTTAAGAACTGCAGATTAAAAGTTACTTAGGGCACAACCTGATGTGAGAACCCTTCCGCAATTTAAAAGAAAAAAGCAAAGTTTATTTCAAATGTTCATCCTTAACCCCATCTCACTCCTTCTGGATGTTCATGCTATATGTCTAGGTATAGTGATACAAAATTAACTTTCAGGCCCTTCTCTTATTCTTGGGATATGGGGAAAAGACATTTTATACTTTCTTAAATAAATCTATTTGGAAGTGGCAAAATAAGTGACATTCCTGAGCAATAAAACTTTATCCCTCAAGGTGAAGGGGAAAAAAAAACATACAGCAAACCTTAAAGTCCTCAAAAAAAATCTTACCCTAAAGTAGATAAAGGAGAGAAAAACTAGGAGGGAAGAATAGAAACAAACAAAACTGTAAGAAATATAGGTCAAGAAAGCAGACAATATCCTTCCCACTAAAAAGTTTAAATGTTATTATTGATGAGGACATAACCCCTTCAACCTGATCTGAAATTAAAATGTTGTGTTTATTTCTAGAGGAATCACTAGTGTTTTAATTTTCCTCATAATATTCCTTTTACTATATATATTTTAAGGTATACAACATAACATTTTGCTATCCATATACAGAGGGAAGTGACTGCTACAGTTAAGCAAATTAACTGGGTATCTAAAATCTATTTTAAAAGCAAATTTCCAGTATATAATACTACTCTTTTCCTCATGCTGTACACTAGAACCCTAGAGCTACTTATCCTACATAACTCAAACTGGGTACCCCTTAACATCCACCTCCCCAGGCCTCCCCCAGCCTCCACTCACTTGCCTGTTAATCACCTCTCTACTCTGTTTCTAAGCATTAGAGGTCTTTCCCCAATTCCTTCCACCCCAGATCAGTTCTACTCAGTAAGATTATGCAGGGACATTTTAAGAAAATGTTCTCAGTAATAATAACTTGATTACCAACAGTTCATGTTTGCATTGGCCATACCAGCCAAGGCATGGATGAGACCTGGGCCAGAAACAACAAGGCACACTCCTGGCCTAGAAATAAAACAGAATTTATGTTATTGAAAGCAGATCAAATTTAACAACTGAACAAGTGGAATAAGCCCCAGCAATCTCATTTTTGAGCTAAGCATTTTTGGTTCATATCAACAACTAAGTCATATCACTTTAGGGTGAAGCATGGCAACCTTCTTGGGCTTCAAAAGAAGAACATACAGGTCTTCACCGCAATTGGTAAAAAAAATTATTAGAATACTTTTTTTTGTGGGGGGGGGATACTGGGAATCAAACTCAGGACCTCCCACTTGCCGGGCAGGTGCTGTGCGGCTGAGCTAAATCCCCAGCCCCTTGGTCTTTTTTTTTACTTTTCTTTTTTGGTACTGGGAATCAAACTCAGGACCTCCCACTTGCCGGGCAGGTGCTGTGCGGCTGAGCTAAATCCCCAGCCCCATTAGAATACTTTTAATATAAAACAAGAGGAAGATTATGTCAGCCTTCTTATAAGAATAAGGAACCTATTTTCTTCACATTGTATTCGACTACTTTTTCATACTTTGCTATTACATTTGGTCTAAAACAAGTTGACTACATATAGAAGCGAATTTTTGACAATTGAGTATTTTTTGTATGGAAAAAAATTTTTTGCACTTCTTAACAGATAAATCCAAGGTCAACTGGTCTTTGACAAGAAAATAATTCGAAATGCAATGTTCTTCCCCAAATCTTTTTTAATTGAATGCTTTACCCTACATGTGACTTTCAAAAGCTTGAAGCATTCAAGAAGGTATTGCCATATAATTCAGTTTGGCCCTTAACATTTATAGTTTCTTAAGAATATTTAAGACAAGGGGGCCAGGGATTTAGCTCAGTGGTTCTACCACCTGCCTTGCAAGCACAAGGTTATGAGTTCGATCCCCGGTACCAAAACAAAACAAAATTTAAAAATGAAGAGTTCCAAATTTATTTTTCTTTACTTCTATCATCTATAATCTTCAAATCAACTAATCTTTCAGCTGAAAGATATAATAGTTCTATCCAAGAATATTCAAAAGCTGAAATATAGTAGAGTTTAGTTTACCTGCCAGTCAGATATCCAACTGCAGAGGCAGCATAAGAAGCCTACAAAGAAATAATACTTAGGAATTAAGCATATTGGGATCCTTATAGTGCAACTATGAAAAAATTTAGTATTTAGAGATTAGAATTTAAATGATAAACAGAATTTGAATGCTTTACACTGTAACAGGAAATCTGCTACACATAAATTTTAAATAATGGTTTAGGCATCTAATTTTTAAATTTTTAAGGAATTTGTCTTTATCATCTATGTTATTCATGCTATCCTTTTACAACTGCTTAAATATCTTTAGGATAAACAGGAACATTCCCATTTTTATTACTAATATTGATAATTTGTATTTTCTTCTTTTCATCAGTCATATGAGGGGTTTATCAAACTTATTAATCTTTTAAGGCAGTGATCTCCAACCTTTTTGGCACCAGGGATTGGTTTTGTGGAAGATGATTTTTCCATGAATGGGAGAGGACAGATAGTTCTGGGATGATTCAAATGCATTACATTTATTGTGCCCTTAACTTCTATTAGTACATTCTAACATATGAAATAATTATATAACTCACCATAATTCAGAATCAGGTAAATAAAATAATGGGTAGACAGGCCATATGCAGACTAAAATAAATATCAGATTCTGACTTAAAACCTGCCATCACATGCAGCTTAACTGTTGCCTGCCACTCACTGAGAGTGTTGATTAGTTTACAAGCAACTGATTATGGTTCTGCAGTCAAACCTCTCCCCAGTGTAAATCTGTATTTGTAGTCACTCCTCAGTGCTAACATTACTGCCTCAGCTCCATCTCAGATCAACAGCTATTAGATTCTTATAAGGAGCACACAGCCTAGATCTCTCACACGCCCAGTTCACTGTGGGGTTTGTGCTACTATGAGGATCGAATGCTGCTGCTGATCTGACAGGAGGTGGAGCACAGGCAGTAACTCCAGCTTTGGGGACAGGCTGTAAACACAGACAAAGCTTTGCTGGCTTGCCAGCTGCCCACATCGTACTGTGCAGTACTAGTCCTATGCTAATACCATGGGCAAGGGGTAAGGAAGCCCTGTTCTAAAGAACCAATTTTTCACTCTGTTGGTTTTTCTCTATTGTTCATTTGTTTTCTATTTCTTTCGTGTCTAGTCTTGTACTTATTATTTCAGTCCTTTCACTTTGATTTTGATTTGCTCTTTTTCTAGCATCTTGAAATACAAGCTTAGAGCACTTTTTAAAATATTCTTTGCTAATAGATTCATTCAAAACTATTCTCTCTAAAAAACTGCCTTAACCACATACTATAAGTTTGATATTTCATCTTTTCATTATCATTCAATAAAAATATTTTCTATTTTTCCATTGTGTTTTCTTCGACACATATTGGTTATTTAGGGTCTGTAGTGATGTCTCTCCTTTTATTACTGATATGGGTTATCTGTGCTTTCTTTCCTTTATTCTTGATCAGCAGAGCTCAGTTTATTGGTTTTATTAATCTTTTCAAATATTTAGAAGAACCAACAAATGTGTCGTTTAGTTTTAAATTTCTGTGATTATCTAGTGATATTCCTGTTACAAAGTTCTAGTTTATTTCCACATTGTCAGTTATATACTTACTGTATGTTTCCAATCTTTCACAATTTGTTGAAATTTTCCCACCAGTGAGTTACACTGAACCAATGAGTTACATCCTTAGTCCTTTGTATTTCTTATTTTTGAGACAGGTCTTATAAATTTTCCCAGGCTGGCCTTGAACTTGCAATCCTCCTTGATGGACTGAACAGTGTTTTTACTTGTTATGTCTTGTTTGCAACATGGAGATTGAATGTAGGGAGCACTGAGCTACATCCCCAACCCTTTTTGAGACAGGGTCTCAATAAGTTGCCCAGGGTGACTTCAAACTCACAGTACTCTTGCCTCAGCCATCTAAGAAGCTACCAAACCTAGCTACTTTTTACTTTTTAATTGTACTTTAGCTCATAATTGGAATGTGTTATGATTTATATCTAAATGTCTGCCCAAAGCTTCATGTACTCATAGGTGGAGCTTTGGGGAAGTGATTAGATCGTGGGGTGTGATACTCATAGCTAAATGTCACTTTGAGAGGTAAATCATGGATGGAGGTGGTGGGTCACTGGGCGTGTGACCTGGAAGGGTCTGTCTCCCTTCCTCTTCGCTTGATTGTGCGTGCTTCCTGCTCCCATGCCATGAGCTGCTTCTCCTCTGACATGCTGCCCTGCTTTGGAGCCAGCTGACTACAGAATGAAACTTCTACAAACTGATCCAAAAACCTTTCCTCCTTTAAGTTGTAGGTGTCAAGTACTGTGTCCCAGCAATGAGAAAGTAACTAAGACAGGAAAAGAGAGAAAACACTAAATTAAATACAAGATGCTCTGGAAAAATGTTGAGTGCACTTTCAAATTCTTCTTAGTTTAGGACTTTTTTTTTTTTTTTCTCAATACTGGGGATTGAATCAGGGCTAGGCAAAGACTCTACCAATGAGCTACAGCCACAGTCCTTTGAATTCTTTTTTTTTTTTTTGAGACAAAGTCTATAAAATTTACTCAGCTGGCTCTTACTTGCAATCCTTTGCCTCAGCTTTCGGAGTGACTGGGATTATAGGTGTGTACCACCACACTCGGGTAAGGACACTATTTTTTTCCAGTATTATTTCTTCTCATATCTTTGGAAATTACAAATTGAGTATTTCCTAGCCTTTAGTCAGTTTAATGAAGTAGTAGCACAATGAACTTAAATAAATCCACATTGAGGACAAAAATGTAGCAAAAATACATGTTTATGAATCATAACCTTAACTGACACCCCTATTACCTGCCCAGAAGAAGGTGCATAAAAGCTCTGTTCTTTTTCTGTGTTGAAATTCTCTGCTTACCCTATCTATTTTCCCTTTTGCATATAAAGCCAAATTTACATGTGGAAATAATAAGAAAACTCCTAAGAAATGTAGATGCATAATTTAAAATACCTACCAATAAGAAATAAGAACACTTATTCAATATTGAGAATCACTGCCCACTTATTACAGCAGGGTAAGAAATGTTGGTATATAATGCCAAATACAAAACAACATACAACAAAAAGTATATTCGGGCAGATGTCAAAAGTTTTATAATCATAAAAAAAAAATCTGTCTCTGACAATTTATCTCCACCTACAGGAACAATAATATACACAGTACTTAAAAAGAGGACTGGGGACAGTTTGTGATAGCTAAAACTTGGAAGCAGCCCAACTCCCCACCAACTGGAGACTGGATAAAGAAGATGTGGTTTTTTAATAAAATGGAGTACTACTCAGCCATAAAGAATGAGAAACTAGAGACATTTATAGATATCTTTTTCTTTTCGGTACTGGGGATCAAACTTGGGACCTTGCGCTTATGAGGCAGGCAGCAGAACCACTGAGCTAAATCCCTGGCCCCTGAGATATTTATAGCTAAGTGGATGCCCCTTGAGGCCATACTCTTAAGTGAAATAAATAGGACACACATGTGTAAATACCAAATAGCATTGCTGGCGTGAAAAACTAAAAGTGTAAATAAGGATCGAAATGTATAACTGATATTGTGCAATAGGAAGAAAAGGTCCAAAGGGGTAGGGGAAGTAGGAGGAGTAGGGGAAAGTAAAGAAGGGAAAGGAAAAATATGAGAGGAAAAAATGGAAACAAAGTCTTTGTAAACAGGGGAGGGAGGAGGGGGGAAGGGAGGGCAGGGAATGGGGAAAAAATAAGAACCAAGATGCATCATGTACAGGTGCAAGATCCCAATGAAGAATGTCATCGTATTGTATACTTAAAATTACCGATAAACTTAATGAATAAAAAAGAGGGCCGGGGATTTATCAGTGGTTCCACACCTGCCTTGCAAGCGCAAGGTCCTGAGTTCGATCCCCAGGAACCAAAAAAAAAAACAAACCCTAGATTCTCCCTCACCTACATTCTCCTGTATAACTGTGACAAAATACTCTGTATACTGGCTTTCTCATCTATAAGATAGCCAAGTTCAGAGATATGGAGATAAAATCAGTGTAAAGCCATCAGAATAGTGCCTGCACACAGGAAATTCTCAGTAAGTTAACTTCCTGACAATCTGCCTCCTTGCTTCCCAGCAATCTGACCAAGTATGACTTGATTGTTCCAAGGGTCTGATGAAAGACAAGTACTACCTAACTCCAGTTCAGCTGAATGGGGAACTCCTCCTCCGGGGTCCCACAGCACCTTAGATCCTTAGATACATCTCAATCACGGTACCTCCCACATATAATAAAGTTGTCTATTGTGTCTATCTCTACAGTTACGGAGTAAGTCCTTCAAGGACAGGAACTAGATGCATCTCCTTCTCCACTGCCCAGCACAGCACCCAGGACCCACAGTGAAGCTCAGAGACACTGAGATGGAATTTCAAGCTGTGTTCTATCTTCTGGCTCCTACCCTGCTGGTCCATGACTATCACTTCCCTAAAGTAAAATTCTAACTATGTCTCTTACCTGGTTACAAAACCTTTATAGTTTCTTCCATTGCCTATTTTTTAAAAAGTCTAAACTTCTTTTGCAGGTAGAGAAGATCCTCCACAACCTTCCCTTTGCTGTCTCACCGCCCACCAGAACTTCAAACTGCCATGATACAGCGTGGACAAACATTGCTCCAATGGGCAGTCTTACCTGTCCTGCCAAAGAGAACCAACCATTCTGTCCTACTACTGTTCCGCATAGTTACACTATTGTGAGGGTTATTACATTACAGAATTTCTTTCTGTATATCTTGCTCTCACCCTACTAGACTGTGATCAACATGAAGTCAAAACTAAACTTCATTCCTTCCTCATATCCCTCTCTCCCACCAGTTATGTAGCACAGTATCTCATATATAGTACATCATACTTAAGTGTTTGCCATATGAAAAGGAAAGCAGTAGCAGACACATCACCTCCAGGAAATAGTAAAATATACTAATAGGTCAGTGGCTTTACCTCACACAGACAACAGAACAGAAGGTTGTTCCAAATAAGAACAAGCTAGCATTCATAAATCCCTAGGTTTGATCCCCAGCACAGAAAAGAGAAAGAAGCAAAAAAATTTAAGACCTGCTAGTTTTAATACAAAAAACCTTATAAATCTCCAACTTTGTATATAATAAACATCACTGAATTAATAAATAATGTACTATGTGTAGATGTCACACAAAAGCTTCACCCAAGCCAGGTACTGTGGAAGATATGACAACAAATGAACCACATTTTCTTCTCTGTAGGGGCTCACATCTGATGCAAGAAGTGCATCATTTAAGGAGGTGAAGAAAACTGTCTGGGCAAGAAGTGGAAAAGAGTCTAAATAGAGGGCAACAGTGGAAACAGAAAGAAGGAATACTTAGCCTCAGCTGCACAGACAGTATGCAAAATCACAAACGTAGATTCTCGATCATTAAGACAGCATGGCTGCCGCCATCCCAGGCTCCTAGGGCAGAGAAGCTGAATTGCACGGGCACCAAAAGCATCCCCCCCGCCGTGGAAATGAGAAGACACATAAATAAGCCTCAAAAACAGACTTCTGGAGCACCTACAG